CCCATCCGGTCACATGGGCGGCAAGCCACTCCCACAAAGGAGGCCACACCCACAGAGTAGGTTCGAACAATTTTTGAAACCCACCACTGACCCACAACAAAGTTCAGAATTCCAAGTGTATCAGAAGGAGATCTCCCTCAGGAAGAGAAGCTTCTGGGGAATATTAATTATTTTGCAAAATTCTGATTTAGGTTATTAATATTATTTAGCACTTCGTTTATCTCCCCTTAGTCATCGCGTTGTTCCATCTAGCTGAGGGCTTCCACAACTGGGCAACTTAAATGATGCATGGACTTGAATGCCTAGAATTCCCAAACCAGGGTAATTATGGATGAGAATTTGGAGAGTTCTTCAGATTTACAAACACTGGTCCAACTCAACTGTTTTCCCGGAATGGGTAGCCACACCGGCTGGGAATGGTAGCCCCAGTCCATCAAGAAGGCACCACATCAGGCACAGCTAGTTTACATTGACAGAAGTTCAGGCTTACTTGGAGATTTAGGGTTAAAGCTGGAATTTTCTCTATGCAATGTTGCGACACTCAATGTTGTTGAGTGGTTGAGTTGCTGTGTTTATCGGCTAGAAAGCTGGCAGACCAGGTTTAAGATTCAAGCACCCTGCAAGGGGGTGAACTCCTATCCTTACCCCAGCTCCCGCCAACCTAGTAGTTTGAAAGCATGCAAATGTGCATAGATAAATAGGTACCACTCCAGTGGGGAGAAAAACAGCACTCTGTGACATCATGCTGGCCACAGGATCATAGAGAAGCCTTCGCACAGCGCTGACTCATGGCCTTGAAACAAAGATGAGCACTGCCCCCTAGAGTTGGCATTGACTAGAAGAGTAACACCCACAGGGACTTCTATGTACAAAATGCTTGCTCTGTCATTGAGTCACCTATGAAGATGTTTTTGGAGGATTATAAGGGAGAGGAGGAAAAATCCATATGCTGACATATGTGTTGTAGCAGGAAAATAAAATTTGATCCAATTTTCCCCTTAAATAATATAATATTGCTCAGCCCTCCCCTTACTCACATTTTCAGCCCATTGTAAACACAGCTATTAAATAAATGGTTTTGCAGATAGCTACTAGGGCTTTGCTACTACTAAGTTACCAATTACTAGTAGGGCTTTGCTACTACTAAGTTGCCAATTACCTCCACTAGACCGATACGATCGCATCGATTAGGCCTCCTCCGAATTCCATCTACTAGCCAGTGCAAACTGGCAACTACCCGGAGG